CGAAGACATCTTTCCAAGCATCAAGCTGGACACGTCCAGATCATTATCCTCATGCTTCCAATAAGCATCAATGATCGATCCAGAAGCCTTGGTTAGAGGCTTATCCTTCATAAGGATAGATCGCATGGTGAGATTAACCAGATTCCTGCAACAGATATACACTACAGAAAAAGACAAACAAACAGACAGAAAATATGCAAGTCACTTAGTACACTTACTATCACAGATAATAGATGCAATATGACAGGCTCCCACTAAGAAAAACACCCTCAATGAGTTTCCAAGTGAGCTAGGATCCATATTTCACATGCTTTTGAGTCAGCTAGGGCATGACGCTCAAAACCATGCTATTTAGGTAGACAACACTTTGTCAATCACATCCTATGTGATTCCTAGATGAGTATGGGATAGTGATACGCTATCACTGCATGTTCCTCATCCCATCCTTACCATTAGGTCCAAGTCCGACTTGATAACCCAATTCAAGCTCAACCATATTTGAGCTATGAGAATCACGATTTCTCCATACTGCCTCACCAAGATAGTCAGGCACGCTCAGCTAGGGCATGACCCGTAACCATGACGATCGAGGCCTTGACAGTTGCTCTGCTAATGGGCGGTAATAGCTTGAGATTTCAAAATTGAGGCTTCATTTGTCTTGAACACCAGGATACCTTGACTGAATTCAAGTCATTCCAGTCAAGTTGTTCTGATCAGCTCAGATGAACTACTCTTAGTTCGTTTGAGTCGTCTATATATAGAATCTCTTGGCCAAACAACATTTGTTTGCCTTAGATTCGATACCAGAACCCTCTCAATATCCTAATTCAGATATTTGATTCGAGACAACGATTGCACAATCAAAACTCTGAATTCTGGATTGTCATCAAGCTTGGTCTTATGTGAGGCTTTGATTCTAATTCTGATAATCGATCCAACACAACAATTGTTCGATCAAAATCTGAATTCTGCAGAATCACGGATTGTCCAAGGTCCAAACCGACCGTCGGTTTAACTTTGGAAAAACCTGAACACTGGAACGGACGGTCCAGAGAAACACGTGGACCGTCCGTTCCAGCAATCCAGAACGGACGGTCTGCCTCTAATGGTCTGTCCGTTCCAGCAAGCCAGAACGGACGGTCTGTCGAAACACGTGGAACGTCCGTTCCAGAAAGCCAGAACGGACGGTCTGCATCCGTGGACCGTCCGTTCCAGACCTTCTGGAACGGATGACTGAATGCAGACCGACCCCGAATACCGAACGTTCCATCAGACCCAGACCGGACGGTCCAAAGATCAGACCGGACAGTCTGTCAAACGTAATCTGAAATTCTCTTCTGGTCATCGGTCCAGACCGGTCGGTCCAACCCTTGGACCGTTCGGTCTGACCTCATTTGACCTAAAAGGAACAACCGCCGTCATGCGTAGACCGATCGGTCTACACTCTAGACTGGTCGGTCCATGCGATAGACAGACTTCGGATCTCGATTTTGGGTCCCGTAAACTAGGGTTTTCATCCCCGTTTCGACGCACCATCAAGCCTCCTACGACCCATAGCTCATCCATGCATTATTCAATAATCAAATTCATCAAACAAGCATAGATCTCATGTTTACATGCATTCTAACCATTAAAACCATGAAAACATGCATAGATCTATAGTCTACATGCATTCTAACAATTAAAATCATGCAAACCTGCAAAGATCTATTGTTCACATGCATCTCAACAATTAAAATCATGCAAACAAGCAACAGGCACGGCGATATACAGGGAACCAGGCTCTGATACCACTGTTGGGTTTCCTTCGGGTTCCTAGCATGCGATCTCATCGATCTAGGGTTTGGATTCTAGGTTTCACGCAGCGGAAGGAAAGATCTAAACCTAGCCAAACGTCACACAAAACCAATTGTGCAATAACCCGAACAATCGTGTATATCGTCGTGGGATTCGAATACTTACCTCGTTCTTTCAAGATCTGGAAGTATCAATCGATCCAGGGCCTGTTTTAATCACCGAGAGTTGAAAGCACAACTCCTCTACACGTATCCACACCGGCGGGATGAATTCCAACACTATGGAACGTATCTGCTAGGATTTGTGAAAAGAAAACCGATGTCCTTGACTTGGAATCGATATTCCAATCTCTATAACTCAAAATCAAGCTTCTCTAAGCTCTCATTAGAATCTAGGACGTCTGAGATTCTTCTTTTAGGGTTTGTGACGGCTCTCATATTAATTAGGATTGTCCAAAACCCTTAAAACGCGAAATAGAAAATCTG